TTGCATAGAGTGATATCAAGCGCCTGGAAGCTATATGGAAGAAAAGAGATGCTCTCAAGGATGCGACCAATACCATCTTGGTCCAAGACGACAGCCGAGGGGCGGATGAGGGTCCTTCTAAAAAAAGAAGGATCGATGTGGAAATAGGTGAGACCTCGTTAGAGAGGCAGCAGGAGTTGCCACGTAAGTTTAATTTAGCTTTAATTAATGGATATTAATAGTTGCTATTTTATTTTTATTAATTTTTATTAATTTTGATATTTTATAGACTCCATAACACGTTCTGAAGTTTACAAGAGAGCAAATATTCAGAACATTAAGAGCGATGAAATCCTCTCTCTTCCCGGCGAGCCATTGCCGGAACGTCTTCAAAATTATTTGGCAAAAAAGAGAAAACCAAATAAAAATTTAAAGGAAGAAGACATTCAGGTATGGTTTAACGGGTTGATGGAGGTTTCAAATGCTTAATGGGTGTCGGCAACTGCTGTAGACACACATAAAGTCCTTTGTTTGGGCTCCTACATGCCTGATATCAGCGTCTTTGCAAAAGAAGATGCTGAGAATAGAGCCCTTATTTCTAGTAAAGTTCGCACTGTGCTAGAAATCAAGCGACGGAAATGTATGTCCAGCCTAACTGATGAGGATAAAGGCCAGTTGTTGGACTATATATATGCTATGGTCCAACAGCAGCCTTTACGTCAGCTATTTTCCGCATCCCTCTTGGACAGAAAATTCTTTTATATGGTGATCTTTGACAAGAGTAGTCATGTGTACAAGGAGGTAAATCTGAGTTTTTCAAAAGGTTTTGCCCTCTTTTGGCATATGATTGCTCGAGAGTCACCATATACGAGAATTGTCGAGGATTAGGAATGGGTAAGTCAACTATAAATATATTAGTATGCTTTCCGATCTAGATATCTCCATTCGATTATAGTTGTATTAACTTTTTTTTTTTCTTTGTAGTAGAGGCCATCTGAGAGGCATTTCTCCTTTTTGCTTGATATCGCTCTTCCTTCTTCCGATAAATCTCGAGGTCAGTGGTTTATTTTATTTGTATTGTGTGTAAATCAAGCACACAACAGAACAATTTTGTTCCGTAAATAATACTCTATTAATTAAAACAATGATAAATTTTATATTTACACACACATATATATAATATACAAAAAGGCAAAATCGATCTTTTAGACAATGATATTTATATTCGCATGCCTACACTCATTCGTATTTCCGTATTTCCTGCTCTCACGTTCCCATCTATCCACCTTATCCCTTAGATTGTAGTAGAACGCAGGCAAATTTGCCTGTGTTTTTGCACTTTTTTAGCTCTGATTTATTTTTTAA